CTTTTACTGCATGAAACTTATTTTTGATCTGACTGAACTTAATGTTCCAGGACCTGAAATATTGGTGTCTTTTTCTTTTTCAGAGGAATGATTTTCAGAAGGACTCTATGTAGTGAATATGACCAACCACTGAGCTGCCTGATGTTACTACTGTCTCAACTCTGTCCTTCACTGGGTGAAGTTCTCTTCTTACTTCACTGAGCAGCAGCAGAAAGTGAGTTTTAACAAGTGTGTCTGGAAAATAGCATTTTGAATAAGATGTATCAATACACATTAAGGGTTCTGCCGTGTGCTTCTGTTACTCAGAGACTTCTGCTGAGGACAGCAGCATTGGAAGGATTAATATTTTAAAGTAACTGTTGGAGGATTATCATAAATCCAGACTCCATCTGTGTACATGATAAGGTGGAAGCATACATGGTTTCTTTAAAAGCCAGGAGGGGATTGTGTTTAATTAATACTGGGTTTAGCACCTGAGGGCACTGGGGACTGCTTGGAAAGGGGTACAAAGGTACATCTGGGCATGTGTCTCATTTTTAAAGAACGGGGGCTTTTGAAGGAAGTGCTGTTACATTAGAAGTACACTTTGTCTGTGGTTCTTCAGGCATGGCACTGTGTGGAAGGGTATAGATTTTCCATTCTGTTTTTTCCAGTCAGTGGAAAAAATAGCAGTTGTAAGTATGCCTGTTAAGGGTCCCATGGCCTATTCAGGAAATGTCCTTTTTGAAACTTTACATGGGAGAGGTTGTGCTGTCCAGTGATGTAATCTTGTATTTTTGCATCAGTTTCTTCTGTGGGCATCTTCTTGCACACTTGCGGAAGTCACAGTGAAGTCTAAATGTCGAGGGTAATTAATAATGCCTTTGTTTTTTACACTGTAGAGTAAAACATACTTCACAAAAATTCCCCTTAGCAACTTTTCTACGTATGTGTCATGTTAATTTTTTTAGAGGCTGAAGCTAATTATTTAGAACAAGGTAGAATGCTGAAGTTGGGTCATAACACTGAAAGGAGATACTTTGTGAGGAGAAGGAAACACGAATTCATATAATGCAACATATACTGCAACTGCACTATCATAAAATTTCCCATTACTGACGCAGGAGATTGCTATCTCCAGGATTAACTGTAATATCAGTATATCACATACGACTCCATAAAAGAAAACACCAAACAGACTAATGGAATAAGAGGCACATGATGAGCTTTACTTTCAAGTTATGTCTGTGTGTTGTGACAGTTAAACCTGAGCTGCAGCTCACTTTGCTCTACAGCATTCTAAAGACCTGATAAAGTTAAAAAGGATGTTTTTGCAAATTCTACTTATCTTTTAAGTTACAGTCATCATCAGAAGATATACTTTGGCTGGTTTTGCTTTGAATTTCTGTGCTTCTGAGTCATAGATCTGGTTGATTATGACTGACTGTATATTGTAGCAGCCCAAATGAAAGTGGGTTTTAAAAAGGTTCTCCCACATAAAGTTTCTTTGGCAAGAGTTGGTTAAAATTTTAATAAAAAAAACTTCGGTCTTAAATCTGTATCAATATTGCTGGTTTTGTGAGTTTAAAAATTATAATAATTTTTAAAAAATAACCCAAACACAAGGGTAGAGAGCATAAGTTCACTGTGGAGAGGAATGAATCCCTTTCAGTTCTTCTCAGCAGCTGGTCTTATTACTTACCCCTAGTTTCAGGTGAATCTTAATCTTGAGATACAATTTCATTGCCAAAAAGTGCTTGTAGGTAATACGTGAACCAGCCACTGTGAGGCTAGCTTTGCAGTCTAATATCGTGAGATCCTGATGTCTCTACGCACAGTGATGTGATACCAGTGTTTGGAAAACGTACTAGCCTTTTCCTACACTGAAGTGACTCTTGCAGCATTTGCTTTGCTTTGCAAGCTGGGTATATAGAATTCCTGTTCCATGTGTCCAGCAGAGCCCTTCTGCTGGGAGGAATGCTGTAGCTAAAAGAAGTATTTTCCTTAAAAAAAAAAAAAAAAACAAAAAAGCCGCAACTTCTTACTGCTGTTTGTGCTTTATATTAGGCTGTTAAGCTAGATTTGCTCTATAGAAACTTTTCTGGCTTTATTGAGTTTAAACTGATGATGTACATGGTCTACTGTCCTTAGAAGGGACGTAAATAGGACAACATATAAACCTTGACAACTGTGAACTTTGTGTTTAGGCTATAAATTTGATGGGAGTAAGGAAGGTATACTAATCTTTTTGTTCTGCATGAAACGTTTAGTGTATGGGATTATGGCCCATGTGTAGGGTTGCTATGGATGACAGTACTAATAATTTACTTCTTTATTTTAAGATTGCTTTTATATAAACCTATTTATAGCATGGAACTCCTCACATTGCTATGGTGTTAACAACTGCAAGGCTAAAAGCACAAATGTTTGAACTGAGATACCTGTTGCTCAGCCACTGAAATACCATTGTCTGATACTAACATTACTTTGCAGATAAGGGCCCTCTCTCAATAGAGCCTTGTGCAAATGGTGGTTTCAGAAGCAGAGACAGATGCCCTGTTGGAGTTGCTGAGATGGTGATATCTTTTACTGAGGGATCAGAGGATGAGGGCCACATTGCAGCACCTCTTGGAATGACCTAAGGGAAGAATGGCACACTCACACTGAGGAAAATGGAGTACATGTAACTTGCCCATATTATACCCTGAAGAGCTGTAGAAACACCCATACAGCATTTGAGGTACCTTTGTTTTTTTTTTTCTGAATGTCAAGACTGCTGTTGCTTTTGAATATGACTTCAAGGAAAATAGTTTTTGCTACTCTGACTTACCCGAGAATGTGTGAAAATTTAATCAATGTCATGTGCTATGATGCTGCTTTCTAGCCCAGTGGTGGATGCATAATAGTTTCCAAAAGTATGGAAAACGAGGCTGTAAACTGCAAAACATAGGGACTGAGATCCCTGGCAGTACATGAAAATTTAAAAGACTGGCAACTTGTGACTACTGCTTTACACACTATTTCAGTCTTGACCTGCAATAGCCTTTTATTACACTGGCTTTGGGCACCTTCTTTGCAGGACCACCAATAGTGACCAATTGCTGCTCAGTTTTGCAGAATTGCTCGGATGATCAAACATTTTCATTTGTTGACCCAAGTCTCAATTAGAGCTTAAGCCCATGAAGATGAAGAGCTTGCTGTTAAATCAGAGCACTGCTTGCTATTACCTTTGCCAGCAGGCTGCTCTATGAACAGCTGCTGTGGTACAAAAGGCCAAAGAGAAGCGCCTCAGTTTGCCCTAGTCCTTTCACACCCCCATGTCACTGGAACATACCCAAACTACAGGCAGTCTTTCCAGTGCAGAACAGGCTGTACAGTTGACTCTAACTGAAACGTGAATCATCTCAGTCCTAAATTATTTTAATCCAGTCATCTGTGTTAAACGGTGTAAAGAGACAGCAAAGCATAAAGAATGGTTGCCAAGTAGAGGATACAGGACACAAAGCTGCTAAGATGAGATGAAATATGAACTAATAATGATTTATTACAAATGCCACTGGGATTATAGTGGGAATCACTTGGAGAGATACTCAGGTGAAATGAATTTTGTAGGCTTTCCCCGGAATGATTATTACAGTCTTAGTAGAGGTGAAGGGAAGGCAAAGCTGTTAGTTACACTAGGAGTACACACAAGAGTTTTGAAGTGCTCCCAAATAAATTCTCCCTAATTAATATAGGCTTTTCAAGCCTCCTGTAAGTAGACAAGCATGAACAGCTGTAGTTCTTTTTATAGACACAAACTAATCTCTAGTACATGTTGGAGTTGAAGGATGTAGAGAACAGCATGCTGTGGATTTGTAAGGCTTTTCTAGCCATGAAAGTATTCTTTTTATATTCTCTAAAAGTAGAAGGGAATGCAGAAGAGTGCAGAGTATAGTCTTCAAGAATCCTACTTGGGAATAAAGTCATGACAAGAGCAAAGGGTCTAGCTCTTAATGACACATACCACACACCTCTTATTAACATGTGTGAGTTTTGACCTATTTTCTTGACAGGTTCAGCCTTTTGTGACCCATATGAAATGGGCAGCATTCACTAGCATTTCTTCCCAGTTTCCACTTGTGTGAACGGCCTTCATGAAAAAGGATGAGAAGAATTACATGCTTCATGGTTTTTAAAATAATTGTAAATGCCTAAGCAATAACTTATAATAAAATCCCTTAGCCTTGATGAATATCTTTGAACATTCTTCCTGTTTGACAATGATATGTTTTCTCTCTCTCTTTATTGCTAGCTGTATGTATTTTCAGTTTAATATTGTCCTCTGCCTGTAGACGATATCCGGTTTTGGCAGGTGAAGGGCGGAACTCTAATAGCTCCTTTCCATCTCTAATGCCCGTGATTTTATTTACATGAAAGCATCCTGGATTTTGAACAGCTTGTTTCTTTTGGCAGTTTATTACCAGCCTGAATGTCCCACTTTTTCATGATCTAACATTCGGCTGCTGCAGAAGTCATTATCACCTCCATTTTTAGTTTTAATAACCTTGCTTTTAATAAACCTCGGTTTGAAGTAAATTTCCAAAACCTCCCTTCAAAACAATGCCCCAGATCTTCTAGAACCCACTGGTTACTTTTTTTCTCCTCAAAGGAATAAGCTGGTTACACTTTTATTTATCTTATGGCTTTTTCTGATGTGACATAGGGAGAACTGATTTACTTAGGGCAAAATGACTTGCTGGGTTCTCTCCATTATTGTAACCAAAGGGAGAACTAACTACTAAAGGGCTCATGGGGAAGAACTGTTTCAATGGCTCTTTGTGCCCTGTGCTTTTTGGCTCAGAAATTGTATGTCCCCATTGTGGACTAACTGTACCTCATAACTCTTGTGATGTAGACTGCTATGGATTGCAAATGAATTTTGTCCATTTATTCTCATGCACTAGAAGGAGCACTGGGGAGAAGTAGAAAAATCACTGTTTCACAGAACTCTTCTCTTTTGATTTCAGAAAAGAGTCACTGTGGGGAAAAAAACTCAGCTATAAGAATACTGCTGTTTAGAGAAGGTAAAAATGAAAATGCTGAAGTGGGGATGGTGTGGATTCCACACATCTCTAGAACAGCTGTTTTTAGGCAGCTAACCCTTACCCTCCCAAGATTCACTTCAAAAAAGCACGTCTAAAGGTAAACCACTTTGAAGTATTAGAAGGCAGATGTATTGACTTACCCATAAGACATTTCAGTACAACAATTGCTTTGAATTCTGCATTCTTCTCATGAAACCTGCTAAAGGAAAGTTGGAAGGAGTTTCCTAATACTTTCTCATGGCTCTGGGGAGGTTAGCTAAGAGTGGGTTAAACTGGTCCCTTAAGTGACTGTTGGAAAAAGAAGCCATGGAAGTATGGAAAGAACCATAGTGCCGTCCTCAGTGTTACTCCTTTCTCTTTCCCCAGAATCTCAGAAATGAAAATCAAGATCTGAGACTTCAAATTACTGCTCAAGTGCATTGCCTTTCAATTGGATTGTAGAAGAAAATGAGGGAAAGTATGTCATTGATTATAGAAGGGAGCACTGACTGTGCGTTCAAGTTTTCATTTGGTTGAAGAACTTCACAATAATGAAGAAACCATCTTCAAGAAGTAATGTACATTTTTTCCCCAAACCTCTCAGCTTTAGCTCTGTAGTAGCTTTGAAGTTAAGCTACACTAGGTGAACAATGGCCAGTTTCGAATCTCATATTTCCCTTTCCTCTCTAGTTAATCCTAGGAGGCTTACGGGTAAGACCCATGCAGTGGTGGGATATACCTGAGCACAGTAAAATCCAAGTGAAATTTTTTCATGAGCTGCACACAAAAAAAGAAATAATAAAATTACAGTGTGACTCTGATCAAGAAGTGGACTATTTGAGAAAGTTTTGATGCTGAAAAGCTTACTCCTCTTGCTTTTATCCTTGCTTGTCTTGTGTCTTTGCAGGAGCACTTCAGAGCAATGTAGGAAGGTATTCTGGATTCAGCAGGTCTGTAGTTGTTCTAGAGGTATTGGCTAAGGTGACGTTGTTGCTTGCACCACTCACTAGGCTGTTGGACTTCCTGTTTTGCTTGTGGCTGTTGATCTTAGGGTACAGGAAACCAGAGTGGTATCCAGAAGGAAGCTCTACTCCTTGGACATTGCTGTATGTTATTGTGATGCTGGGTATCTGGGCTGCAGGTGGTCCAGAGTGAGACTGTCCTTTTCTTTGTCCAGTACCATTCAGGCTTTCAGCTCTCTAAAGGATGTAAGGATTTAAAAGATACTAACATCATAAATATCTACAAGGAGATCAGGTTGCATCATCTATGAAAAAGTGGCATATATTTAGATAAGCACTTTGCCAATCTGCATCACTAACTGAAAAACAAAGGTGGATAATAAAGTAGATCTGAATATTTTTACAGTATTTCATGAACAACTTATGAGGAAAAAAAATGTTTAACAAGTTAACATACTAAAGCATAGATTTTTCATTTGGTACTTAAGAGCTGGTCTACTTCGATAAAGACCAAACTAATGACAGCACATTTGACTACAAACAGAAATGCTGTGAGGATGTTCAGACAGACTATGAGTTCAAGTAAGTAAGGAGTCCCTCCATAAAGAGGGACTGTTTAGGTTCTCTGGGGCAACAGGTGATGTGAAATGCAGTGATAGCAGCATGGATGGTTGAAGGGGAAAGCAAACTAGAGAATGAAGTGAAAAGGGCAATTGAGGAAGGTATTAATTGGCATTTTTTGGCAATAGCAATGTTATCTCTCACTTTCACAGGACCAAAAAATCAAGAGTGTTAGGATGAAGACAACAATAGCTGGTAAGGATCACTGCTAACAATAAGATATAATTTAAGATTTTTATATTACATTTGGCTTAATACTGTAAAGAAAAAACTGGCTTGTTTACATCTGTCAGCTATTTTCTCTTATTTCACTGTCTTCTATCAAGAACTAAGGCAACTTGCCTCACTTGTGGCAGATGTCCAAAAAAAAAAATTTATCGGTATTCTGTAGCTTCGTTACATGGAAGAAGAAATAGACACTAACACAATATCCTACTGAGTAAGTAATATGGCGTGTTTCAAAAACTTACCTTGATTTCCTTCAAGTTGCATTTTTTAGATGTTTGCTGCTACAACATTAAATAGTTAAAAATGTCACTTTGTACAGCAGTACTTGCCACAAGACTATGGCTGTCTCAGAGGTACAGTCATCAGAATGGCTGTCTCAGCTTACTTTGCATATTATTTGTATGAAGATGGCACAAAATTAATGCTTCCATGCTCCACTAAGGAAATCACAGACCTCATCATAAGACCTACTGAATGAAAGAAAATATTCAAGTTCCTTGAAGAAGCGGGACTTAAGGAGATCATTGTGATACATGTGTTCTCCTTCTGCTTAGTTTCAGCAATGATCTACACTTTTTGGTCATATTTTCTATATTCTGCTGGGAGTAGACTGGGTTGTCACTAGGTTTTGTTCACTTGGTTAATTAGACCCATGCCAAATATTAAAATAATAATTCTTACAGTAGGTGTAGCAGTGTATTCTGTGACGTTTAGTTCCACCATGGATATGTCATCAGAATCTACAGCTGTCTGAAAAATAAACACAGATAAGAAAGACATAAATGACATGTAGATATGTTACAGTATTTTACATACATGAAATTCAAAGTATAGTTTAAAAAAGGAGGGGAGACAACAGAGGACTGACAGAAAAGTAGTGATATGCTAAAGATAGCCTTGGTTTTTATCTCTCACCACGTGTGTCCTTTTGATAGCAAATGGTGAGACAACAGGGTTGGCTAAGTGATTTGGACAGTGGAATACAAATATTACTGAATACACACTTAAAACCAAACACAAAGCAACATACCATTCAGATGCTAAGTTCACTAACAGAGCACCATTGCTTGTCAGAAGTGCAACAAAGACAGCTGAATAATGAACCAGGGTAGAAATAAAAAGCTGATGACCTTTCACAGCCACTTAAGTCTTCACTTCCTGTGTTAGCTCATAGGTCATCCCCATCTTCTTGGCAGGAACCTTCATGCTTAATTATGGTAAAATGTGCAGATTTGTTAACCTACCAGTTGTCAGAGAATTTAGATATTACACAGTCTATTACCTTCTCACAAATCCCAGAATCAGGGCTCTTCAGTTTAGGTTTGGTTCTTACGTCACTAGTTTGAGTTGTGCCTTTACCCATTTTGTAGGAAATCTGTCTGCTAGCAAGTCTGGAGAGCATACGGGGGTTATCAGTTTCTGTGTCAGTACAGCCCTAAAATGAAAACAGCAAAAGTAGTCACTCTGGGTTCCTTAGACTTCCATCCATTTGCCCCAAGCGCACCAGTTTTACCTAGACAGGAATTGTAAAACAGAAATTGTATAAAAGACATTTCACATAAGTTACGCCATGCGTGACTTCACAAAATCTTTGCTTGTAAGACGTACAAACAAAACTATCAAGTCTTTTGAGTCTAAAATTCAGCTTACTTCTTTCTTTTTTTTTTTTTTCCTCCAGAGGATGCACTGAAGATTTTCAAACAAAATAATGTTTTATTATAGTCTATTGTTGAAACTTCTCTGATTCACATTGTAGCTCTGAAGTGATCAGTGTTTCCATACTAGTACCCAAATAGAAAGCACAGGGCCAAAGGAGAAATCAGGGCCAAAGGAGAAATTAGGGCCAAAGTTTCCAAAGTAGCTTGGGTGGAAGCAGAAGTAAATGGAAGGAAATTACCAGGGAATGCAGAATCAGTGCTTCAAAAACATTTTGTTTTGTGAACAAGCTGTGATTTTCCAAACTTAGAAGGATTTTTTAGAAGAGCTTAGCAAAATAACCAGGAGGACAATCTAAATATTTCTTTTCCTGCTGAAGCACATGAGGTTGGGCTCAGCTATTTTTTGGATTGCAGCTTATCAAAAAATGTATACCCTGCTTCCCATTCCATGCATAGAGTGTAGTAGCACATACAGTCTGATTCGATTGAATTTCAAAGTGGAAGTAACTTTATTTTCTGAGCATCTGTTCTAGAGTTGGATATATTTCATTGCAAAGAACTTACTGGAAATTGTTTCCTTAGAATTTTCCAAGGTGCAGAATATCTTTGCATTCACAGGAGTAAAAAAAAAAAAAAAAAAAAGTCATGAAGCTAATTTATTGTCTTACAGTTTGATGACCAGCCTTGATATAAAATACACGGCAGCATATGTACTGCCTTTTTGAATTGCGGGTATATATCTAGAAAGCTTAGAGCTTAATTGAGGCACAGATGGTACCAAACAAAATCCAAATAAATTATCTGTGAGCATCAAAGCAATTTTGTTTAGTTTAAACTTGAGCCCTTGTTTCTGTTCTGTACTTCAGCTAAACTGATACACTTACTAATAAATCATTGTTCTATGGTCAAATCAAATAGTTAAGGGAAATACGTTCTTTTCACAAAATGACTCTATCACTGTTCTGAACAAGATCTAGACTTAATGTTTACAGAAAATTCCAGACTGAAGCATGCCAATTGCTTGAAATTTTTTATTTTTGGTTAACTACTTTGTACCCAGTTTTGTACTTTTGTTCTCTGCTGTTCTACCTTGAGTATTAAGAGCTGCTTCCCTAAGCAAAAAAGAATTGCTGAATTGCTTGTATGTTTTCCCCTTCCCCAGTAATGATAGTAGTACAAAACCACACAATGTTACTGAAGGAGTTTGTTAGGTTTTTTAAGAATCAGTATTTACAATCTAAAAGATTCAATATAGAAATGTTCTTTTTTTATTAGCCAGTGACTAGTATCATGTGAGCGGTGGCTACTAGCCAGTAGAATTTGATTTTGATTAGACCGAAGAAATCAAAGTGTCAGTGTTAAAAACAACTGACAGAATTCAGTGCTTGGCTGGATTAGATATGTATATTACCTTGACTATGAAAAAGAATCACCAAGAAAATTATGGCTTTTCATATACTTGGAAATGTCATTTAAAACAATTGCAATGAATAACTGAAGTGTAACTAAGAGTGTAAAGAGTAACTAAGTAACTAAAGTGCTTAGTTACTTAGTAAGGTAACTTTGGGTTGCAAGAGGGAGCTTAAGATGCTGAATATATTCTGTTTCCTGCTGCCATGCAAAACACTGTGTTTCATTTAGACTGGCAGTAGCAAGCTGTTGAGGTGATGAGAATGATTCTATAATGGATTTACTGATTTGTCTAAATCTAGTGATTAATATGTTTCCAAATATATCCCACTTCACTTTCAGAAAACGTTACTGTTTCATTACAACCTTGCTTTCACTAGAGAACTATTTAGTGACTAGCAGTTTCTTTTTTGTTTGTGTCCAGACTGCAAATCTCGGATCAGACAAGTACACCCTCAAAATATGAGCAGATTTTCAAGGGTGCTCTGACTTGAAGCATCCCTTACTTTCTAAAATTCTTGTTGTTCTACCTTTCCACTCTTGCTTCAGTGTCACCAACCATCAAGAGTACAAAGATTACATTCTGCTTTTATACTTCAGCCTTCTGTCTTATATTTCACTTTGTCTCTCTGCTTTCTCTGGAGCTCTTGTAATAAGCACCATAATGCATTTAATCTAAAGAATGTACCAATTTGAAGGACTCAGTGTGAAGATTAATTACTTTGCAATTAAAAATGGGTGTATGGGAAGTGTCTCCCTTACTGATTCACTGTCAGAGAGAAAAGACAGTCGCCTTTTTCCTTTCTGCGGCCCGCTTATCTCAGAAGACTGGCTGGTTACGGTCTCTCGTCTGGAGGAGGGGTAACTGCTGAAAGACTGTGAGTCTTCAGGAGAAACTCTCAGCAGGGATCCAAGACAAGGAACATATGTTGCAATGGCTGTTCTAATGGATGAGAGATAGAACCAGTCAAATTTTTTTCTGTTAGCACGAACTTCAGTCATCATAAACAATGCATGTATTCAAAGAGATGAACTAATGCTGCATAGCCTGGAAAATTGCTGAGTACAAAAAGTTTTCCACATATCCAGTATCTCATTTACAATCACCCTGCAAGATCACTTATTCACAGTGTTCTGCAGAACTGAATTTTTTTGCTTGGCAGGGATAAGAGCATTAAAGTATAACTCTTTGGACTGAAGGGAGCTATTAAAATGATGTTTTGTCTGCTTTCAGCTTAATCAGGGCAAAAAAAAAAATTCTGTCCCTTTAAACTGAACCCTGCAGAAGTAACACATAATGAATTATTTTAATGTTCCCCTAAGCAGCTCTTCTAGCTTCCTCTTACGCATCTGTTTGCCAACTATCTGTAAAGTTGTACAAAATGTGCAGTTATATTACCATATTTCTTTCCTCATATGCAGCATAAGCACACTCTTTTGCCTAGCTTTCTTCTTCCTCCCAACATTCCCCAGTTAGATGTTCATGCCCACCTCTTCTCTATTCAGTTCCCGGTAGTTCTTTGTAAAGCGTATTTATTGCTTTGCTGCCATCCATCAGATCTCACAGCCTGCATCTGAACTTGATATGGTAATGACCCTAGATATTACAGCTCAGAAGAAATACTATCTGAAAAATGAAAGCTTGAAGAAAGCTGGGGGATGTACAGAGTAGGGAAGAGGTGGTTTGACTTCAAATTGCATCTCTCACTGGCCAGGTTAACAAACTGCTATTTGCAACAGTGATAAATGTCTGTAGTTCTCATGAAGATACTTTTTTAAAAATGATGGCGCTTTCCTTTGAGGTGCTAAGGTCTCTATATTTTATCATGTAATCTGTAAGTACAGATCAGTATCCATAAACGTCTCTAACTCCTATCTGCATAGTAACTTGCTCTAAGTACAAATTCTACTGAAAATATGGCATTAAGAAGTTTTCTAGGGGAGGATGAGGCTGTCTTGCGGAGGTAAAATGAGCAGGTGAAGGAGAGTTCAGATTCTAGTTCTAAAAGTGACAGTTATTGTCTGATTTTCTTTGCTATATTAAAGTTAACTTAAGAGTGAACTTACCTGTATTTGGGGTGAATGATGGCATAAATGATAGGGTTATGGATGACAGAAGCTTTGGCAATCACAGCTGGTATGGAGTTTGTGAAGGGTGTTAGGACATGAGAATACCTAGAGTAATGCAAATGCATTATATATTTAGTACTCAGTTCTGTGTAGTCTGTGCAGTTATACACTGACAAGACAATGCTTTATTAGTGTTCCAGGGAGAATAAAACGGGGGTTTCCATACCCAGTGATAGAACAAATTTTATATCCTTTGTCTGTAATGTTTAACAGCATTACATTTCTAAGAAACATTTCTAATTACATTTCCGAGAAACACTATTTTCTTGGGACTTCTCTTGCAATACTTCACTACTGTGACTCAGGATGGTGGTAATTCCCATGCTGACAAAGCCAACATTCCCTAATGAAAAAGTCAGCTTTCAATGTGAACGTGCGTTGATCAGGGTATCTCTGTTCCAAACTTAGCAGATATACTTGACCACAGATAAACTTGTGGTTACTAGATAGCTGTTCAGAATGAAGCATTATAGGGAAAGATAACTGAAAATCTATTTTTCTATTGAAACTTTTTTTTTTTTCTGATCTGAATTAAAAAATGAAGGGGAAGTATTTTTCTGAACTGAACAGTTAAGGAGAAATATTTTCAGGTGTCATATGTCACACATGTTATTGTGGCCATGCGTATGTACAGGTGATGTGATTCTAAAGGATAAAAGAATTATGATGCCATGCTGCTATCAGCCAGTTAATTTTTGAAGGTAGCTTGAAGTAGCCCTTAAGGTTTTGGTCAGGAGAAATTCAATAGAACAACTCAGACCACAATAACAATAACATTTCATAGGCAGTTTCTAGTAGGCAAATTTTCCATAGACCTGCTTGGAGGCTATAAATATCTTCCTGCACTGGCAGAAAGAGTTCTAAGTTAAGTGGCCCAGTAAGTCAGTCTTTCCTCCCAACAGTAATATCCTTTCTGTATCACTGCTTCTCTTACTGGGAACACAGTCTAAGCTCCATCTTTCCATTAGCCTTACATTCCTGTATGATTGGAGAAAACAGATTTTCCTCTCAATCCTCTCAGAAGAAGTTCTTTCATATACATGCTGCAAACAAACAACAGAATTGCATAAGTAGGTGGCAGCTCATTTTCCTGCTGAAGAAATTTTTCATCATGCTATGTGAATATTTATGGCTTGCTAATGGTGATACAGGAATCATTTTGTCAACTGCCTGAATGTTGAGATGTCATTTCACCTCTAATTTGAGGCTTTTTTTTGATAAGCATGTTCTCCATATACAATTTTTAACATGGTTTCTCCTAATCATATGTTTAAAGCATTGTTTAGAGGTGTAGTTCTTCAGAGATTCTGGAGAACAAACAATAGCATGGCCTTGCTGTAAAGCAGTTTTTGACCCTGAGATGAGAGAGATGATGCTTTTGTAAGACTGATGGAGAGGTCATAGTGACAAAGGCTGAGAAATAGTGACAAAGGCTTATGTTTAAGCTAACAATTCCCAGAAATACAACCTTTATACCAGCAATATTAGTGAACCAGAGTATTTTCTAAAGAAATTAAGGTACTTCCTTAATTTTGAGTATGTTGTTACTCTGTCAAATGAGTTGCCTTTAGTCCAAGACTACAGCCACAGACTCCATGTCTGCTTCCCATTTGTAGTACGCAGTGATTTTATCTGAGTTCATTGTAATAAACGTCCACAGAAGACCTGCAGCCTTGGTCTGTTAATCTCTGAAAAAGTCCCAGAAGTATTGCCTAAAAGGCATACTTCAGAAAAAAAAAAGGTGAATAAAGCTGTGTTGCTCACCAGATGTCTTCATGAGCAAAATTTGCAAATGCTCATTTGTCGCATAGAGTTACAAAATTGTCCATTTGTTCATGTTTTGTCAGTGTGAGACATGGGCTAGAAGTCAAGTTCAGCAGGCACTTGATCATCCTAAGGTAGATGCTGAATCATACAGGACAGTGTGACATTACTACGTAGCTAAAATGTAGAGCTTAAACCATCTTCTAGTTTTTTAATTATTTTTTGGTGGGAGGCAGTAGCTTAGAGCAAGTAGTTCTGCAGTGTAGCTGTGCTTCATTTCTTTGTCTTCTTGCTCTTTCTCTCTCTCTGTCTGCTCACATGTGACCAGGGGTGGGTACTGAGTACCTAAGTCCCCCTGTGACAGGAAATGGGATGCTGGGGCACATCCTAAGGATGTGTTTCTGAGTGAGGAATGTATTTACCTTCACAGAGAAAATGTTTGCTGCTGCTTGGAATTGCCCGTGTCGATACAAAGGGGGAGAATCCTCTTACCATTTTTTCTTAGGTATAAGATTTTAGAAATCCTATGTTTAGGAAGATGCCTTCCTAAACCATGTTTGAAAAGAGGCCCTGCAATGGCCTCTTCCTCAGGTGTGTAACAAAAATCAACCCTGCATCCCAGAATGCTCCGTCATACATAAATTTATCCTATGTGTCAATTTTAGGAAAACCTACTTTTTATTTCTGACTTGAGAAATACAGATACAAGTGCCCTGTACTATCATAGGAGTCTTCCACTTGAGGATTTGCAGCTGACAAGACTTTCTAAAGCAGATAGTCACAACATTTTACAAAGACCAAACTGAAACACAGGAAAATTCACAGGTTAACATGGGAGAAATACTTGCATAGAGCCAAGGCATGTGGACTTCCAATCCATTACTTACGCTGGATTGTATCAATTATAGCCTGGTATCAGGCTATGTACAGATACAGTATTAATAGTATCATGCTTTTGTTGAAATTACTGCGTAGAATGCTGACAACTAAATAGATGAAAACATGCTTAGGTTGTTTATACTTATGATCTTTTATATCCAACATGAAAAAGCTCCCCAATGCAAGTATATACTAGTTTTGAACTTGCTTATCATGTAAGTAATTTCAGCACTTTGATGTAACACAATAAAATGAGTAGACTTTTGTAAGTAAAAGAAGTGGGGAAAGAAAAGAGAATCAATTCCTGGGTGGATTTTTGGGGCCCCTTATTTAGCATATTGGTGCTAAATAAATTTCAGATGTTTCAAATATCCTAGTGCAGAGAATCTGCATTCAGGAGTCATCAGCGCAGTAATGTTATGTTGCCGGTAACAATCTTCCTTTTTTTTCCATAACTTTCTTTCTAAGTCAAACTAAGAAAAATAATAGAGTTAGTATGTGCCTCATTTGTTGTATGTCACTCCTAAATATGTGAATGTTTTGGCTGCACTTCAGGCATTAAAATTGACAAGTAGCTTTGACTTTTATCTGTTTTCTACAGTTTTACACCTTTTGCTTTCACTGAATATTCCTTTGTTGATACATTCATAATTACCCAGCAAAAGCTACCAGAGCAACAACAGAGTATGGTGACCAGGAAATGACATAAAGCAAGATGACAATCAGTGCAATTTTGGCCATCTTCCACTCATTTTTCATCCTCTGAAACTGTTTCTGGAACTCTTTATTTCCATGTTTGCATCCAAAAGCTTGAATAGACCTAGGAAATAAACATACAACAGCAAAAAAAGGAGGTAGGGAATTGAGAAAATGGCTTCATAAAGTGTGGCAACAAGTACTCTTATGCTAGTTTATGCTAAGTTTCATGCACTTTTAATGTGTGTTAATGTATACACGTGACCAGTCCTTTCATTGCACTAATCAGTGGCAAATTCATATGTGCTTCAGTAAAGAAAATAGTCCCGTACCAGAAGAATTTCCATATAAATTGGGTATTCAAGCATTGAACAATACTGTGTTAAATATCACTAGAGAAGTCTTTGCTTCTATAGGTCCGATTTTGCTACCTTATTCTCACTTTGTGCTTCTGTGACTAGATATGCTGATATCTACAGGACAGATACCTACAGATTACAAATGTAGTGGCAGACATTGACCTTTATTTTTACAACAATAGCTTTTCTTTCAAAGGCCTTTAATTAAATGGTTTACCTCTTTTCACCCTTTGTCAAACTTGTAGTTTAATTTGACCTACTTTTTGTGGAATATTTGTTGATACACTGTTGTTAGGTGTCTGGTGTCTGGTATTTCTTTTGGTTGGTTAATTTCTGTGCTGCTTTCTCATCCTTCAGATTTCTATTGCTGCTACTCATACCATTTCCTGCAGCATTAGCCAATATACTGAACAGCTCTGGCTTAAATTCAGGAATGGCCCTTCTAAGCATCATGCTTCTTACCGTGTTGACTGTCGACAGAATTCTTGTTTGGTTTCCTTTATCAGTCATGCATACAAATTAAAAATGAAATCTTAACAATTTTCTTTTCTTAGTCTTTGTTTCAAGAAAATAAGCAGGCAATGAAATGGAAGGATAAAAGCTTAAAGCTGTTGGCTACTTACTTGTTGGCCTTCTTGATAGCCTCAAATATAAAGACATAGCTGTATATGATAGCAATCAAAGGAATGAAAAAGACAAAGCAGAAAAGCAGCATTGTGTATGCACGGACTGATGGTGTCAAAGTCATGTAGTCCCAGGAACAGGAAGTCATCAGACCCTCGGGAACATATGCACCTAGAAAGACAAGAAAATGCATAAGCCATGACATGATTCTTCCTCTCTGTGCAGAAGTAAGAGAAAGAAACTTAGAATAGCATGGGATTTAGTCCCATTCTCATAAAGGGGAAAAGAGTCTAAAGGATACACAGTGCTTTGTTCAAAGCACTTCTTTTTATTTTCTTTTACTCTGTTGTCCTGTTATATTTATGTTTAGAAGTCTAAGGCTTCATATCAGAAAGCTGAATAATTTTGTTTCATAAAATCATAGAATGGTTTGAGTTGGAAAAGACGTTAAGATCATCTAGTTCCAACTCTCCTGCCATGGGCAGGCACACCGTGCACTAAACCTTGTCGCCCAAGGCTTTGTCCAGCCTGGACTTGAACGCTTCCAGGGATGGAGCTTCACAGCTTTCTCAGGCAACCTGTTCCAGTGCCTCACCACCCTCACAGTAAAGAAATTATTCCTTGTATCTAACCTAAATCTCCCCTGTTTAAGCTTGAACACATTGCCCCTTGTCCTATTGCTACAGTCCCTGATGAAGAGTCCCTCTCCAGCATCCTTGTAGGCCCCCTTCAGATATTGGAAGGCTGCTATGAGATCCAGTGTGAACAGACCCAACTTTGCTAGCCTGTCTTCATATGGGAGGTACTCCAGCCCCCTTATTATCCTCATGGCACTTCTGTTTTGATTTTTTTTTTAATTAAAGAATTATAAACATATGGGTCAACTTTATTTTGCAGTTAAGGGAACAACCAGGAAAGCAAAGACTGCCTGCAGTACTTGTGGTGCCTGGGTTGTTTCCTGTGGTGAAAATGAACCAGGTGTACAAGCAGACTTCATCACTGCAATGAGTCCTTCATTTATCTTCTCCCTCCTCTCCAGTGAGTTTTTTGTTCTCCTTCACCAATGAAAGAATATTCCTGACCACCCCCCATGCCTGGCTCTATCTCTATTTTCAGTGTTTACTCCTCATTCACAAGCTTGACATTTGGACATTTCGTCACAAACAAGTTCATGAGTCATCTGGAAACATCCAGGAACCAACTGGGTGGTCCTCATCTCCTGCTGGCAATTTAATTTCCATTTGCCAGGTGCCTGTCTTGCCACTGCTTGTTCCTGACAACTTCTATGAAGTTTTCTGAATATACCTTTTCAAGTGTAGCTCCAGGTCCACAGTGATGTCTGTTCCTTGGAGAATGTTCCTGTCTTATTGGCAAGGGTTACCTCCAAACATGAATCAGAAGTCCCCAGAGAAGTGTGAGAAGATGTTTCCATGGGAGTTCTGGTGCCTATTCTTCAGTCCTCCTCACAATATGCATTATACTGCTTCCTCTTCTCCTCATCTGACAGCACCTTATAGGCAGCACCCAGGTCCTGGAACTTTCATGTCCAGGAGTTGTCATGGTTCTTGTCAGGATGGAGCTGCAGCACCAGTTTCTGGTAGGCCTTCTTGATGTCCTTGATGGAGGTGTTGCAGGACATCCCCCCGATCTTGCAGAAGTCCCTCATGGTGGCAGCCTTCCCACAGAGCCCGAGCAGCAGGAGGCAGAAGCAGCCAAGCCAGCTAAGGGCCATGGTGCAGCAACCAGGCCTGCCGGGGGAGGCAGCAGGGAGAGGGAGCAGCATTTCATTTTCTGAATACTGTTTAAAGCTCAGTATAGTCAAAGGGCATCTCTCCAAATCCTTCAGTGGATCTTGGATCGGACTGCACTGTTTTTAAGTATCTCCCTTTCCTGTCATATTGTCTTCCCAAGGAGTGAAAAGAAACTGATTGCTACAGCTACTACTTTTTTAAGCTTGTGCAGCCAAGAGAAATTTCCTGTGCAAAGGAAAATGATTTCTTGTGCAGATCAGACTAATTTTGTCAAGAGGTATAGTTCAGTACAAAGCAAAAAGCATCATACATACATAATATTCTGCCTGATATAAAATATAATCTCCTTAAAGGAACTGTGTCAAAATGTTAAGTAAAAATGTTGTCACCAGGAGTGTCTTCTTAACTTTATATTTTAATTTTCACTGTTTTCTGTAATATTTTCTGTTGAATTGTTAAAAGTATTGCACCAGATGTGCTCAGATACATCTGATTGAAGTATGAGAGTTAGTACTGTGGGTGCTATTAGAATCTAATTACAAGATAACAACACCTTTTAAGCAACTATTTTACCTTCTCCAATTAAGAATCTAGAATCTAAGACTACATTCTCATTTTGTCATTCTAATAGCTACTCATTCAAGTAAAGGCTTCTTCTCCCAGTACTGCAGTTCGACTGCTTAAACATACTTCATGTTTATGGGTGACCAGAATGACAATAACAAGACAATAACAAAATTCTGCTGAAATACTACTCAGTAGCTGAGTTGGTTGTAGCATCGTTTGGGAAGGTCAAACATTGCTGTATTCTCACCTCGGCTGAGTTGACACATTCTCTTCTGGAATTAGGAAGAACAATAATGGGCTAGAGGTTTGAATGATGACTGACTGAAACGGATGACTCATAGGAAACAATGGTAGAGAGATGGATTAAAATGAGGAAGAATAACAGAAACTCTATTTGTTACAAGTTGCAAGGATCAAGATGCTGCGTTTGTGTTCTAATTTGCAGGCATAAGATTCACATTTACAAAAGCAAATTAGTTACTGAATGACATCCTTATTGGAAGCCGTAGTTCAAGATACCAATGGCTGAGTGGAGAACAGAACCAAAACCTGGTGCAATCTGCCCATCTATAGTATTGTCAAGACTTACTGAAGATGTACTTGCAAAAAATACTCAGATTGTATTCCTCTTTTGTGTGAATTATTTCACTTATATTTAATTAGATTTGGTTCAGTCGAAATAGGTATAGGAAAATAGGTGGCTGCATCCTGCCAAGGCCAGTTTTGGAACTGATTTTATCTACTGTTCTTTATTCATTAAAGAATGAGCTTAAGGAAGAGTGCCATTGTCACATAATATGCTGTAATACACTTCCCCCCCTCCCCCTTTGATTAGAGATCTTTAGTTTCAATACATATTTTATCAGTTTTCTTCAAATCTATTTATTCAAACCTAATATGCAAGCATTAACTCTCTTCTATACCTGTAACTGGTCTTTAATCCAATGCTATGAGGGAAAAAAAGCTTTTATTCAATTTAACTTACTCCATCCAAAGAAGGGTGGGAGGCTCCAAGCCAAAGAGTACAGCCAGACTCCTACCAGGATTATTAGGGCCTTCTTCTTAGACATCACTCCAACAGAAGCCAGAGGTTTCGTGATGACAAAATATCTGTCCAAGGCAATCACCATCAAAGTGATCATAGATGTAATGCCAAAAAGAGCTCCGCAGAAGGCATACAGCTCACAGCCTTTCAATGAAGAAGACAGAAGTAGCAGTGAAATTAATCTGCCATGCTAATTAATTTCTGGGATAGTTCAAGACTGTGTTTCTTGTGAACAAATGTCTTCTGGAATTTGTAAAGCAACGGAAGTTCACTTTTCCTGCAGTTGGAATGCTGTCTCAAAGCTGCTATCTTGCCAATTACATTATTTGTGGAGATAAACTTCAAAGATTTTGTTTGCTTGAATTGCTGGAGACAGTGACACTTAACATGTTTTTCTCACTGATTTCTGATGTTTCTAGTGGGATAATTTTAACAGTCCATTAGTAGCTTGTTTAACTCCAGTTCTACTGCAGCTCCAGTAGGAAGGGATGGTTTTTTAACAGTGGGTTATAGCTACTTTGATATCATAGAACCATTTACATTTCAAGGTCATCATAGCTGAAGTAAATATGCAGACTATGAATATATTAATGAGTGATTCTGCTGAGGTAAATATGCAGATGATGTATACATTAATAAATTATTTTAATTATTGAAACAGCCTAGTGATTAAAAGCAGTGCTTTGGGTTTTCATTTTAACATGTATACTTGAACCGTTTGTGGAACTAAAAAAACTGCTTTTGGGCATCAGAGATCATAATAGCAACATTACCTCTCTGACCTTCCTGTCTGTTGATACCTGTTCAAGAAGCAAGAATGAAGGCACCTTCATTCCACATCTTTCTGCATAGGAAATGTTCTGTTAATATTTCTGTTGTTAAAACTCACTTTTGCCAAGCTTTCTTGCCTCACTTTGCCAAGTGCCAGTCCCAGAGCAGGTTATTTAGAAGAGCATTTAAGCTGGTGTGTTGTGGGGTGGCGTTGCTTGTAACTTCAGAGCTAAGGTATGACATAACTGGGGAAGAATTCTGGCAAGAAGACTAGTCCTGTGCCTTACGTTGCCAATGTCACCCTTGTATCTACCTCATGTATGTAATTTTCCTCTCCCTGGTATTTATTGCACACAGGCAAAAATGTTCAAAGAAACATTTGTGTCAACAGTGAAACAATGTTGAAAAATGTTCTCAACATTTCAAGGGGACCTGAGGATAAGAAATAATAGTTTAGCTGCCACTATGATAAGAACATACTTAGTGATAATCTTACAAAGAATATATACAAACCTTTCTCACCAAAAATCCAGCGTTTGTGGAAGCTGTTGGTGAAAAAAACTGGAGACTGTGTAATGGACATCAGGAAGTCACTAACAGCTAGATTGATGATGAATATGTTGGCTGGAGTCTGAAGGCTCCTACTCCTAAAGAGAGCAGAAGAAATATTGCTAAACACTGTTGCACTGTTAATTTCATTGTTGCTCTTTCCTGTGAACATTGTTAGCTTCACAAATACCTAGGCACATTCTATGCAGTAAGCTAGAGCAGAGTGCTTCTCATTTCCTTCACAAGAGAACATAAGCAAAGCTGTTTTATACCTTTATACTCCTGTGCACTTTAGAGGATTCACAGCTCAGTGACGGGGGTAAACTGTATTGTTCTTTAAATATTCTGACCCAGTGCACTGCATGTCCATGATTAACAGGAAATTAAAGTGATGTACTCTATGGATTTCTGGATCTAGGTCATTTTAAGTAGGGGGAGGAGAGTGCATTTCCCACTGCTGATAAAACCAGCAGTGACAAATACAGGGATTAAGCAAACTCACATGTACCACATCAAGCATTTTGGTTTACATCCCTTCTTCTCTGTGACACTCATTTCACTGCCCAGACACTAGCTTTAAACAGATCAATAGCTGTCCTTCAGTGTATCCTGCCTGTGTATGTTATTCACAGTATTGTAGTATAGTGTTTTAAGGGGTGCACATAAAAGCTCAACTGAGAACTCCTCAGTTTGCGATCTCTGTGTAACATTTTAGCTCCTTTCTCTAATTTTCAATCTGAGGCACAATTGAAAAATACCAGCATAAATGATGAGTTTTTTGCACTGATCCAGAATCAACTGATAGGGCTACCGTAACCTGTTCGCAATTTAGGAGCAAGGAGTTATTATTAGTAGATGCTGATGGGCCACTTGTATTTTGTTCAGTAGTCTGCAAAGTTACTGAATATATTTCTGGCAGCTGGTTGTCTTACAGTTTGCCATTACTTGAGACTGCTTTGTAGGCATCTGATGTGTTCTCCAAACTTCTGATGTATTTATTACTTTGCAATCAATATCCCTTTCTGTCTTCATAACGTCTTCAAATTAAGACGGATGTCCTTCAGTGGAACTGCAGCTGCCATGGCTGGATTTCCTGTATGGGACCAACCAAAGAGCTAAGCAGCTCAAGTACTTCATCCTCACATATATGGTCTGCACGCCAGCACCTATTCTGTTTTTAAGGCCATATATCGTTCACACTGAAGTGTTGGTATCTACTATGAATGCACATACTGAAACCTGCCATTTAATGCACCACATAAATATAGGCTCAACACCCAGCCTTTCACCCACACTCCAGTGATTCAAGTTAACACAGACAAATTATCATAGAATTGCTGTTATTTTAGTTCATTACATTTGTTCCCAAAGATCAATGATGAAGTAGAAGCTCACTGGCGTGGACATCGTGCCAATGCTCTGCCCAAGTGTGACAAAACAGAAACAGGATGGCAGAACAGGAATGGTGAAAGTATCACATTTTAGTCAGAGATCCAGTTTCCTTCAGCTATAAAAGCTGGAATGTGGATTTAGTTAAAAGGAAATAGGCCAAGTGTTAGAAAATGTGAAAACAAGAGACATGACAGTAAGGAACAGAGTGGGAAAAGAAACTGGGTAGTAAGCAGCACTTCTAAAATAGAGAAGATATGTGGGAGACACAGGTGCAAAACATCCCATCAGTCCAGTGCAGACATAATTCAGCCAATAGAAGAAAAAAAAGTCACTGGCTGGTTTCTGCTTTGGCTGCTTTTCTATTGCTTGACATATCTGGGTGATTCTTTGCAGTTTTACTAAGAGTTTTCCTGTGGCTATGGTTAATGGGAGGGAGTCACAGAGAAGTGGCAGGTTGTCATTTTTTTTTTCCTACAGCAATGTCTTTTGGTGCATTTTACTATGTCTGGATAGTAGTCTGAAGGTAACATTGGCTGTGCTGCATTTGCAGAGCACAGTCAAGGTACTGTTAATGTTCATAAATCTGAGTATTTTTAAAAAAAAAATCAGAAAGACAGATACCTGCAGAAGACATAGAAGACCAGGAAATTACCCAGAGTTCCTGTGATTCCCACAATAAGAACAACTACTCCAATTGTATAGTGGGCATGGTCTGGGACATCCACTGTAGGAAAGGCACCCGGCACATCTTGCACTATCATCTTCTGTGGAGTAAACAAGAGGTCACAGGTATATCAGACTTTACTGAATAAACTGGCATGTGCTTCTCTAGAGGAGGAAATTGTCAAGGATGAAAAAAAGCAGCAAGCAAAAAAAAAAAAAGTTAATTGCTTTTAAATCACATTTACTGTTGATCATCTTCAGGAGACAAATATGCCATCAGCAGTGCAAAGGTCAAAGGGCTGTTTATATTTTTACTGTTGGTTTAGAATTTTGATGAAGAAAGGCAATGAATTTTCTCCCAATAGAAAGATAGGGATATAGAGAACTGAAAAGAGAGGAGGGGGACCCTTTTCATTGCATCTGACATCAAGTAATGCAGTGCTAAACAAGTAAGTTTTCTGTAGTTTTCGGGGGAGTTTCTGTACCTGTGAAGTGCGATTTCTGTTTTCCTCTGACATCACTGGCTAGACTTCTCTAACTAGAAATGATCTTCTGTGGATGAATATGCATTTTTTTCTTTAGTAGTATGGCTATTTCATTTCTCCTGCTGAATAACACTGAATTGTGAGCTGCCCTCAAGACTCAGTTACCAAAAGCCTGGCAGCATTCAGCAAGAGTTCCTTGGAAACTAAATTAAGGATTAGAAAAACTAAACCACAAATCCTTTATACCTTATGCGTGGTTTCCATACCAGTTCTATTTTCACTCTACACTGAATTAAGGTATTTTGCTGTCTGTGAAGTATGTGACAAATCACTTGATGAAAGCATATGTGTCTTAATCAACTAATAACTCACAGCAAAATTCAGTAGTCAAGTCTGAAGGCTACAGCATTTTAAACAATAATTTAAAAACATTTTTTGGTTACTTATCAGGAGCCATGAACACATTTTAAGCTGAGTGACCCCAGATTAGTAATGAAGCAAATAAGGCTGCATCCAGGAAGCAGGATGACCTGATAGACCTTGAAGAGAACAGCTGTCCAAACCATCACCGTTATGCTGCCTTTTGCCATAAGGTCAGGCAGGGAGACTTAAACACTTCTGTGCAACTGCCACTGTTCTCAACATGTCTTGGCATCAGCTCCAACCACCTAATGGAGTCATGACAAATATCAAGTCCTGTCCTCACTCATCTGCATGGACAGATCCTGTCTGTTCTTCATAGCCAGGCTTACCTCATCAAGAATGGCAGTCACTATGGAATGGCATGCCAATGCCACTGCTCATAGCTCAAGCCTGCAAGATGCAGCCATGGCATTCCTCAGCTACTGAGCTATAAGAATCACACAAGGATTGAGAAATGCATGGGAAATGTTTTGAATCATTTGTAGCCTCCCTACTATGAACACTGTCAACTTAGCTGTGGCCTAGGATCCAGGACAAGTGAATTGCCTGTATCAAGGTCTGTGCCTTTATCAAGCTTTAATAGTGCTATGAGGCTGTATATGTTCTTTTGAATTGTAAATACTGGCAGGTGGTGGTACAGCTGTCATGTGCAGTCATTCCTTCCCAGGAAAAGGAAGGTTGCTGGTAAGAAAGGAGGAAAGTGCTCATGGGTAGACATGAAGTTCTCCCTTTTATGCTGCAGTTGTTTATGCAGTAGTTGGTATTTGCAGTCAGAGTGCAACTCAGAAATGCCTTTGACAATACCCCAGTTATCAAAGGAAACGGTTATTTTCAGACAATAGAGGCAGACATTACTTCTGAATACATCTGTGAGATTGGGCAGAAGTTATGAGAGTGTATATTTAAAACAAGGGTGGCAATAGCAGGAGGTGAACCCCAGGACTGTTTGGAATTCTGGAAGAGTTTGTCTTTGCTTGTATGCTGAAGATTTGCCCACAGCCATCCTCAACAACTAGAAAGCACTCCCTGGGTTTCTGCATTAGCAGCAATAAAATGCTGGACAAATACCCTGAGCTTAGAGAAGGAAGATGTGGATATGGCTGTTACTGTAATTGGAGGAAAAGGTTGAAGTTGATATACTAACTGAATAACAGTATCATGGCATTTTTTGTTCAGGTTCCTGTACCAAATTGTAGGTTGGCGTCACATCATCAACAACAGTGGGCATCTTGCCTAATTAGAAATTGCTGTGTCTAACACACTGCCAGTAAAATAACCCCAAAATCCCACACTAATAGCAAGCGGAGAGGGAGAGTCTGAGATAAAATTGTTGCAAATAAATGACATTGGGTGTTCCTTGGTTTGTTTTGGTTTGTTTTTTTTGTTGTTTTTTTATTGTTTGGTTGTTTTTTTTTCGTTAGGATTGTGGCTCAAACATATTTTAACTGCTGTTCTAAAGAGAGTTCATGATGATTATTAATGGAATGGAGATTTCTGATATTTTTTTCCTGTAGCTATCCATTTAATAACAACTGGATCAAGGTAGCAGAAATGAAGCAACTAAAGGAGCTTGTTTTGGCTACAAAGAACAGATTAAAGTGGTTTTAATTTGAATTGAATTTATGGAGAACTAAGGACAAGGAAAAATTTAAAAGGTAAATATAAACACACAGAGAAATCACAAGAGAGAAGAGGTTATTTAAGGGACAGTAGAAGACTTTAAAATCACTTGCTCAGGAATAAAACAAGTTCAGAATCAACAAAAATGTCAAGTGTGAAAAAAATAAAGGAATAACTTAGTGGAGCCATGATAGAACATAAGCAATACTAAGTATATGGGAGGAACAAATATATGGGAGGAAAGAGGAACAAATTCACATTTTAGAGTGGACTTCCTGTTGGCCTGGGATTTTTACCACAGGGTCCAATTCTGACTATTCTCTAAGAGGCAAAAGTCATTTATTAAAAAAAGTAATTTCAGTGGTTTTGTTGGAAATACAGAGCTGATTCAAATTTTCTTTAAGGCAAAGAAAGGTACTGGTTGACTGACAAGGCATAAATAAGACCTGACCACTTCAAGTTCATCACTAAGTTGCATGCATACTGCTTCCTTACTAGAAAATGAAAACACATGCCTGTATCACTCTTAGTTGCAGATCTTCTACAGGAATTGTACTTCAAAATAAAGGACAAGGAGAAAAAGATAGTGCTTGAAGAAATCAGGTCAGCAGAATAATCAAGAAATCAGACAATTCCCAAAGCTTTTCTCTATTCAGTTTCTCCAGCAGATGGGCCTTATTTAGCCTCTGTCTTCTGTTTTCACCCCATGGTATGAGTATTTGGTTGGCAGGGGAGAATAAAACCCCACTGTTGCAATCTCCACTGTAGCAATTGTCCTTTGAGAATACTCTGAACAAGTATTCCAATTGCATTGATAATACACAGCATTGTTGCCTTGCATTTTTTTTTTCTATTCAGAATTCTTTTTAGAATCACCTCCTAATGAAGAAAAAAAAAAACAGGCAAAACCAGCACTTCATTATTCCTCTTCCAAGTGATGTGAAAACACAGCTAATTTAATGTTACATTGTTCAAAACGTCACCAAATGCACAAAGAAACTGAACTGGAAGCTAAGAGGTTGGACATTTTCCAGTGGATGGACAAATGGACCACAGCTTTCCTGAGTCAAGAAGATACTTGCACCTGAGGCTCTAGACCACTGGGTGCCAGTATACCCACAGACCAGCTGTGCTGCAGGTGGCTTGGGTCGGTATTCATTCTGTAGGAAGCAATTCATTGGGAAGCACCAACTTCCTGAGAGTCATTGCACATTTCTCAAGCAAGCATGAAATGATCATGGAAGCTGTAGAGGACATCAAGGTAGTAACTGTAATGTAACAAAATTTCCTTACGGTAAGTACTGAAAGTCAGCTGGAGAACATATCGTAGCCGTGGACAGCATTTTAGTCAAGCTTAAAAGCAAGGTTTATAATACTGTTTGAGTATGTGAAAAATGGCCTTTCGCTAGAACTGTAGAAGAATTTGTGTTCTTAATCTCCAATAGGCATATAATTTATTATTTATTTACACCATAGTTTTGCATAATCAGATGGATAATTTTAGTGTCATCAGGAACTTAGGGAAGTGCCACACTGATTCAGAGCACCATTCCAGACCAAACACTAGCCTGCCTTTAGCCACAGCTGGGTGTTTCACAGAGCTTCAAAACATGCATAGTGAACAGTGATGTGGGAATTTAATTTTCACTATAGAGTCTTAGCAGTTAATTTGTAGCCTAAAACAGGCTTACTGTCCATTTGAAAGGATAATCTTAGAGGAGGATATTTTTATTCTCCAGATATAGGTGTAATCCTTTTCTAAATCCTACTTATCATTTGCCTCAATAGAGTTAGTAGCAGGAAGTTACGAAGTTAGGAAGTTGCCCTACATTAGTGTATTTCTTTCCAGCAGGTTTAAGTATATCTTTGTGAAAACACTAGAATAGAGGGAAATAGATAGGTTTAATGCAATCTACTTTCTTAAAATGTTCACTGTTCTCCCTAAGGAAATGCTTGTCTACTGCCTGCAACAAAACAGCTAGAACAGAACTGACCATGTTTTCTGTTACCATTCAGTAAATTTGACTGAGACTTACAAATTTAAGATGTTTTTGGGGAGTTTGGAAAAGAGGGAGTGTTTGATAGATAAATAGGTCTAAGTCCTTTCTGTTCTGGCCTTGTCTGTGGAAGCTGCAGCACAACATGGAGCCTCATTCTATATCTATGGCCTGTTTCCCCAGCTGGTTACAAGGGAAGCAGAATTCTTTCTGGAGGGCCAATTTGAGGAGCAGCCTGCTTCTTCAGGAAGAGAACAGTGCGCTGTCATTTCTGCTAAGGCTTGGTGCAAGCAGAGTGTTGTGGCTTAAGCACTGAACCCAGGACACAGAGAAAGGGGTAAAAATGAATCAGCCACAGAGTACATCAGTGTAGGGCAGAACTTGAATTTCACCATGAAGTTTGTTAAGACCCTGCAAGACACTGGTCTGAAGAGAGTTAAAAGGCTAAAGGAATTCCTTTGCAGTCCAGGACAAAACAGTGATTCCTAAGTGATTTGCCCAGGTTAGAAGGAATTCTAGATCAGATATAAATAGGAATATTTGACACCTGCATCTATTCTTTCTTGGGAATCTGTTTATTATACACGTTTTCATAAAGAGATGACTCTTTAAATAGTTATTTTGTAATATAGTAAAAAACCCCAAACAAGAAAAAAAAAACCAAAAAAACAAATCAAAACCAAAACACAACAAACCAACGCTAACAAAAAAAACCAAACCAGCTTAGAATAACTTCTAGCAGAGAACATACCATTTTCGAAAGGACAACACACAAACAATGCAGTTCAACTATTACTGTGGAAAAAAACCCACCCTGTTTTCAAAGTAAGAAAAAGGTCATATCACTTAACTAACTGTCCACTTGGAAATGTTGATTGTTGAAGTTCTACTAAAGCTAACAGTGTTGATGGTAGGAGCAAGGCCATGAATGTAAATACTTGTACTGAACATAAAATCCTGTTTGATATAGCCCACTCCTCATGTTCTCCCAATGGTAAGAGTATAAAGCAAGGTTTAGTTTATACTTACAGGGAAAGCAGAAATCCTCATAAGGTCATTTCGGGATTTGAACATATTTCAGTGCTGGTTCTGATTGATATATTGATTTTTATTTTTGTGCGTGTGACATTGTCTCCAAAGCCAGGAACAGAAAAGACTAGGACAAGGACATTTTTCAGCTACCTCTGCCTGGACATTTGATGGATTGCATCTATTTGGTGTAAAACAACACAAAGAAAGGGGCATAGGAACTGCTATGTCACTGCTTTTATGAATTCATCTGGCTTCAAACTGTAAGCATTGGTCTTGCATATTGAAAGTTTCAATGGAACAGAGCCCAGTTCCAAAACACAACAAGTTTTGACAGTCCCACATTGATTTTGGGAATGTATCAAGTTTCTTTGTTCTTAATTTTCCTACAAATACAGATAATGAAGTGGCTTATTTACACAGTAGGACTTCTACAACCAATGGTAGCATTAGGCCTTTTACATTACAGCAAATCATACAGTTTAGAAAAATTATCAGAAATACTGTAATTTCCTAGGGTTTCTAGGTGCAGTGTTGGTACTGCCTATCTAAAAGGGACTTCAAACAACTGGTAACACTTATTTTTCTTTACGGTTCCTTGCCCTGATTTCTGAGCTTGCCTCTGTAGGCACTTGCTCTGTGATGACAGGCAGCACAAAGAGGAGTGTAATCCCATCTCAATTATGGTTTCAGCAGGGTGAGGCCAACTGCTAAACCCTCTTTCCAGTAGACAGCAGGACTTTCCATAGATGATGCTTTTCCCGTTGAGCAATTTGGATAGCAGATTTTGTATCCTATCTTCTGGATTTAATATCAACCACAAGCAGCACTTATTGCTTTCAGTCCTGAAATTCTCTTAAACCAATCTTTGTGTCAAATTAAAATGCAAAACTTTGAAAATACACACACTTGGTCTAGAGAGAGGAAACAGCTAATTATGTTTTTTCAGCAGGATAAGGAAGAAATCCATTTCTAATTTTCTGATGTAAGTAACTCTGTCCCCAGAATCCTTTTCCATTTTTCCATGTGCTCTCCAGTCCCTGTTATCCCTGCCTGCTGTGTTCCACTATCCTCTTTCATATGTTATCCATCTAATTTAGTTTATAAGCGCCTTGGCTCAGGACCCTTCTCTGTTTATCTTTCTGTAAGACACTGCACAAATCCAGTTTTTATTAAAAAATAAATAATCAGACTGCATTTTTACTATGCAAATACTAAAATATTTACTGATCCTTCATTATAAATTAGGGTCAAACTGAAAAACTCAATCCAACATCCTGTATGCATAAAACCTTCTGGAGTGTTTGTGTTGAAACTTGAACACAGTTTTAAAGTGTCTACTGTGTTATGTGGGCCATGCCAAAATACCTGGTGTGACCACAACAAGAATTTAAGTTGAATTTCAGATTTGGAAAACTTTTAAAATTAGCTTGTTTAAATATTTTATTCTTTACTTTTAAACAGACTTATGTGTAAACAACAGGTGAACAAAACTGTGTAGTTCTAATAGTAGACTGAGAGACGCAACAGGAAGAGGACTTCTGACTTCTTTGGTTTGGGCGTGTGGGTGGGAATGGAGAATATTTTTAGTCAGCCCAAAGGAATTTGATCCTGAAATGTCATCACAGTAGAGTCTCACCTTCACACCTCTAAGGAAATTTTCTTTCTGTTTGGTATTTAACAGCTGAGAAAGAGCTTTGATAGAACTTACCTGAAAGCCTTCTGAACAGATCTCATGGGTAACTGCAAATAACGACTCTTTAACATTTACACTCCACTGCACTTACAGACTGTTACAGAAATTAGGGGGATTTCCATGTTGAATAGTAACACAAGACAGCATTGTGTTTAACTACTAAACAGCTGTTTAATGCCCAAGAACCTCTTCTTTTGACAGTTTGCAACGTATTTGGTGTGCTTTGCCATTAGCCCTTCCTCCCTATCTTCTGCCCATGTAACTGCTGAAAAACCCTACTTCTACAGTCCTTTTTGTGGTAAATAAATAGTTAAAGTAATGAAAAGAAGATTTTAAAGTTTTCATTATGTTGTTCATTATGACATTACAGCAACAAATGTGTGCATGCACCTTAAATGTCCATTCACAGTTCCACAAATGCCAGCTTTGCCAGCAGAACTACTTGCTACAGCTTTTAGTGATAGAAAACACTTACTGTTGGGTCTCTAAGCAGCAGGTCCATCAGTGTGTAGGCATTGGCTTCCAAGTCATTCCAGGTGTTGAAGGACTCCACAATTTTGGTGCAGTTGGTATCCTCACAGGGACAAGAGATCTCCCTTTGAATGAGCTGACTATTTACATGAACAAAATCTAAGAAAAGGAAAGAAAGAAAAGCTCTCCTCTGAATTTAGTCAGCCAATTTACCTTTTTATGTGTATGTAAAGCAGATTGTTAGGTTCTCTGGAATAACGTGAGGTCCAGTGCAGAGTTTCCCACTAGAGCTTCAGATCGCTTCACTCCATCTTCAGCTTAGCAAAGGGCAGCAGCAGCAGCTTCCACTTAAATACAGGAGACAGCAGGGTCTGCACATGCCCAGTTTGAAGATTGTTCCATGCAGATTCCAGCTGCACTTTAATGCAAGTATATAAAACTAACGCTGACTTAAAAGTGCTGTTTTCTTTTTTGCCTTTGACAGTTATGTGTCTGAATTATAAGGCTATATCCATATTATCCACATGTGAAGACAAACAAGTTAAAAGATTGACTTCACTGTCTGTTGTAAATATTAGACTTTACTGTTCATTTTCACTGTACTGGTAAATTAGTTTTTTGTAGTCTGCTTTTAAAGAAGATGTATGTGTACAGTTCTGCTGAAATTGGCTGAACTCAGATTCTGATATTTAACAATGTGCTTATGTGCACTTCTGTCTTGTAGAATTTAGGTCACAGTTGGTCCACTTCTAAAAATAAACAAAAAATAGGGATAAAACCCACTGACATCATCTTTTTCGGCTCTTCAGTTAAAAAAAATAAATAAAACCACAAAACCCCAGGCAAATACCTTAGGCAGAGAACAGCAGACAGCCACTTCTTTCAAGAGTCGTCTGCTTTCTTTTACAGTTGTGTTTAGTTAGCGTGTACATGAACAGATTCTTCTTCACACAAATCTTCCTTTGCACTGCACTATGCAAAGAGATGCAAATTGCTGTATTCACAGTTGAAGGCCCATTACTGTGGTAAGAGAAGTTTAATTGCAATAGAGAATTAAGCAGAGTGTGAAAAAGCTGTTCCAGCAGATACTGCAGCCTGAATATCACAGAGTTTAGGCCTTCTACCCACTGTAAAAATAGCCTAAATGAAAGCTATTTAGCTTCAATGCAGTTGATAATAAAAACAGATGGTGCGAACTGTTCCTGGAGGCCCTTGTGAGAAGGTTGTTTTATCTGTAGGATCTGTATTCCTCCACCTTTGCATGGATTCCAATTCTCACGTACTTTTCCTTAAATTAGCACTTGCACAATCTAACCTTAGACTGGGGGAAAACATTGCATTTCTTTGCATGAACAGGTTCTGTGCCTCTGTATCAAAGGCACTCATCTACAGTGCTGAAATTACCTTTCCTTGATAGTCATACAAGGCATGTAGCATTTACTTTGTGTCACCAGGCCACTGAACATTACCCAGAGGAGACACTTATACTCTACAAGCACTCAAACTGTGAGATCTTAAAAATAATTATTAGGAGATTTGTTGTGAAAGGCAGAGAGATTTCACTGAGTATCTCTACCCTTCAGTGTTAGGTAGACACGACCAACCCAGATTTCAACTATCATCTGTGGCAGAACTGATCTCAGAGGTGGCTAATCACTGACAATTTTCAACATGGTCAGTGTCTGAAATTTTGTGGTCATTTTCTAGGGAGTGCTCTTCCCCTTTTCTCTATGCGTGACATCAGACACTTGAATATCAGGGCAATAGTGGATATGACATTAATGGTACGAACTTCAGAAGACACTGATGTGAACTCCAAATCCATCCCTGTATGCCTGGATACACAGTGTTTGCATGCAGCACACTGTAGGTGTGAAGCAGCAGACAGTGGGGTTGGACATCTTGACAGGAGACTTTTGGAAGGTAATTTTGCATTTTACTACTAAAAAGGCAGTTGTCATTACAGAAAGCCACAACGTGAAACTGTCAAAAACTTGTACTTTATTCAACTTAAGCTTATCAAGGGAATAGAGCAGAAAATGCGTTTTCATTATGAAGTGCAAAGAAAAAATGCAATGGGAGATTTGTGTGAACTTCATATTCAGAGAAGTTCCATACAGTTACATTGTGCTCTTATCAAACTGATAAGATACAAAGTTTGAGACATACAATCTTCAAGGACAGGCATAAATACTAGGTCAGAGGTGTTCTCTGACTTGGCATTCTAATTTTCTTTGCTCAAATCCACTTAGTTTTCTGCTTTGTGTCTTAGTTTTGCGTAATGACAACACTCATTCTCTTTACATACAGCTTGTACATTAAGTTTTTCTTTTCCCTTGGTCACAGATTACATTTTTCTTCCTTCTTATTTCCTCTCATCTTAATAACAACTCAGTGCACTGAAAATATTTCCTTTCCAATTAGCTTGGAAGCATTCAATTTTTGGTATTGTTGGGGAAGCCCATAATATGTCTGGCAGAGTCATCAAATCATGGAATAAATGTAGTCTTTTTTAAAGTAAATCAGACATTGTAGAAACTATGTAGCTTCTTGATTCATTAGATTTGGTGGTGTCGTAATTTCCAGATAGAATAATCAGATTAGTACAGCAGTTCTCAAGAGTATATTATAAAAGAATAAAAGTATAAAGGACAGAAAGAAAGTTTTCCCAGTGAGAAATGGATGCTAGTCCAAAGATTTGATTTGATATCCTTCCTTAGGCTCTGGGGCTGTTTTTGTGAATAGTAAGCATTTGCAAGCTAGAGGTGAAATTGTTTCTGAAAATTGGACCCTAACACTAAGATTCATGTCCAATGGAAATGTTCTCATATGATTACAGTTGTCTGATCCTGTGTTATAGCCAATTGCTAGAGGCAATTCAGCTGACCTATTTTCTGTGCAATGGATCAGCTTCCATGGAAGGAAGTCATGTCCTAGAACTGCAGAAGGTGTGAAGTATGAGACTTCTCATTCTCTGTACCAAGGGTTTGGGAATTCAGACAAAGAAAAATAGCAAATCATTCACAGAACTTCTCTCTCAGATTTGCTTTTGGTTTATATGCAGTATTTGGTTTATATGCGAGTATTACATTGCAAATAAAAGACAGGCTAGGGACAATGTGGTCCCTCTCCAGAAGCTAACAGGAGAACTGGCTGCCCTGGATTTGGAGAATCTGAGGGTTCTTAATGACTTCTTTGCCTCAGTCTTTACTTGCAAATGCTCTGACCACACCACCCAAGTCTTGCAAGGCAGATGCAGGGACTATGAGAATGAAGACCCTAGGCCCACTGTAGGAGAGGATCTGGTTTGAGACCATCTTAAGAACCTGAATGTACACAAGTCCATGGGACCTGATGAAATCCATCCATGGGTCCTGAAGGAGCTGGCGAATAAAGTTGCTAAGCCACTGGCCATCATATTTGAAAAATCATGGCAGTCAGGTGACATTCCCGATGACTGGAAAAAGGGAAATATAACCCCCATTTTCAAGAAGGGGAAAATGGATGACCTGGGGAATTACAGACCAGTCAGTCTCACCTCTGTGCCTGGCAAAATCTTGGAGCAGATTCTCCTGGAAGGCATCCTAAGGCACATGAAAAACAACAAGGTGCTTGGTGACAGCCAGCATGGCTTCACTAAGGGGAAATCCTGCCTGACCCATTTGGTGGCCTTCTATGATGGGGCTACAGAACTGATGGACAGGGGTAGAGCAGTTGACGTCATCTACCTGGACTTGTGCAAAGCGTTCGACACTGTCTCACACGACATCCTTGTCTCTAAATTGGAGAGACATCAATTTGATGGATGGACCACTCGGTGGATAAAGAACTGGCTGGATGGCCGCTCACTAAGAGTTGTGGTCAATGGCTCAATGTCCGGCTGGAGACCAGTAACGAGTGGTGTCCCTCAGGGATGGGTGTTGGGACCGGTCTTGTTTGACATCTTTGTCGCTGACATGGACAGTGGGATTGAGTGCGCCCTCAGCAAGTTTGCCAATGACACCAAGCTGTGTGGTTCGGTTGATACCCTGGAGGGAAGGAATGCCATCCAGAGGGACCTGGACACGCTTGTGAGGTGGGCTGATGCCAACCTTATGAAGTTTAACCATGCCAAGTGCAAGGTCCTACACCTGGGTCGGAGCAATCCCAGGCACAGCTACAGGTTGGGCATAGAAGAGATTCAGAGCAGCCCTGTGGAGAAGGACTTGGGGGTGTTGGTCAATGAGAAAATGAACATGAGTCAGCTTCAGTGTGCGATCACAGCCCAGAAAGCCAACCGTATCCTGGGCTGCATCAAAAGGAGAGTGACCAGCAGGTCGAAGGAGGTGATCCTGCCCCTCTGCTCTCGTGAGACCTCACTTGGAGTATTGTGTGCAGTTTTGGTGTCCTCAACATACAAAGGACATGGAACTGTTGGAACAAGTCCAGAGGAGGGCTATGAGGACGATCAGGGGACTGGAGCACCTCCCGTATGAAGATAGGCCGGGAAAGTCGGGGCTGTTGAGCCTGGAGAAGAGAAGGCTGCGTGGAGACCTCATAGCAGCCTTCCAGTATCGGAAGGGGGCCTACAGGGATGCTGGGGAGGGATTCTTCATTAGGGACTGTAGTGACAGGACAAGGGGTAGCAGGTTAAAACTTAAACAGGGTAAGTTTAGATTGGATATAAGGAAAAAGTTCTTTAAGGTGGTGAGGCACTGGAATGGGTTGCCCAGGGAGGTTGAGAATGCTCCATCCCTGGTGGTGTTCAAGGCCAGGTTGGACAGAGCCTTGGGTGAGATGGTTTAGTGGGAGGTTTTGCTGCCCATGGCAGGGGTGTTGGAACTAGATAATCTTAAGGTCCTTTCAAACCCTAACCATTCTATGATTCTATGATTAAATCAGAACAACTCAAAGTCTTTTGCTGAGCAATAACTGTTTTCCTTTAAGGTTATCTCACTTAAAGTTATCAGAACACTAGACTTACAGATCTGGAGGGAAATTTGATCTCTGGCTCTCCCTTGTTTATTCTCTACCAAAAGCTTAGCTCTGTTGTATCCCTGGAAAACTTAACGGAAGAAATGTATCAGTTCATAACCCCAGGTAATTACTAAAGCTATCCAGCTCATCCTAAAGTTTTCAAATATTTCTGCCAGTGTTGTGTGTGAAACATGCCAGAAGCCTACCTGGCTTATGGCCCAGGTCTGAATTACC